CCATCTAGCCCCATCCTATCCACTCTTACTCACCACCCACTCTTACCTCCACCCCCAACCCTGCCTCCACTCTCATCCATCGTATTTGCATAATTTATAATTTTTAAAATAATATTTTTTTACTTACTAATAAAACACTTGAGAAATATTTTTCTTCTATTATGACCCGACTGGACGTTTTGATGCTTCGGTGGATTGAGACCTTGAGTAAATTCATATGATGCATTATGACTTCTAAGTACGGTTGGTTTGGATTTATGAGAGGTTTAGAGGTGGGTTGAAAGAGAAATTCTTATTTTGGAAGCTTTAATTTGGAAGAGTTGACCAATGTTTGACTTTTGAGTAAACGACCTTGAACTGAGATTTGATGGTTTCAATAGGTTCCTCTGGCGATTTTGGACTTGGGCGTATGTTCAGAGATTTCTAAAAGGTTTTAGCGTTATTTGTCGAAAGCTGGCAATTTGATGAATTGGAGAGTTCTTAAGTTTGACCTCTAGTTGAATTTTTGACTAACGAGCTTTGACGGTGGTTTCGAGACTTTGGATGGGTTCATTTGGTTGAATGAAACTTGTGTGCAAAGTTTGGTTGTAGTCCGAAATGTCTAAGTGTGATTCAGACGCGGTTAGCGAAGCTGGAATGTTTGGAAGTTAAGAGATGGATTTTTGATCATCGATTTATGGTTGTGTTTTTTATGTTTTAAGCCTTGGGACAAGTTTGGATAAGGTATTCAGAGTTGTTGGTAGATTTGATGGGAGACTGGGAAGCTCGAGTTAGTTTTAGAGTGGTTTTGGACAATTTCGGACCATGTTGGAGCTGCTGATATCTAGTGTATCGCACATACAGAGAGAGGCGTGCGGGTGCAGAGGTCGTACCTACGGTGTTTAGAGCGCACATGCGAAAGTGGATGGTCCAGTGAGTGGTCGCTTCTGCGAAGAGGGTAACATAGATGCGAAGGCGCACTTGCGGAGCTCGAGAATGAGGCAGACATGAGGAAGCGCATCTGCACAAGGACGTGCGCACATGCGAGGCCGTAGATACGGTAGTGGAGTCACATGTGCGATCACTGGCTGTGAAAGAGCTCGCAGATACTAACATGTGGCTGCAGAAGCGGACTTATAGATGCGAGTAACTGGGCCGTAGATGCGATATTGCTGGCAAACTTATTTATTTCGAGGGTTAGCTCATATTTCACTATTTTGAGTTTTAGAGCACGGGAAAAGACAATTTTGGAAAGGATTTTCACTATGACTTTTTCGGTAAGTAATTTGCATTTCGGTTTGACTATAAATCTTGATTCCCCTTGGATTTATACACTTGGAACATGTATTTTAAAGAGAAATTTAGGGGTTTTGGGGAGGGGGAGTGCCTATAATTTGGGGGATTTGAGTACCAATTTAGACTCGATTTTGAAATCTAATTTCACATAATTAAACTCGTGGGGTTATGGGTACCGGGATCACCCATTTACTCGGGTTTTGATCATGTGAGTCAGTTTGACTTTTGTAGATTTGGCTAAAGATTGAAGTTTTATTGTTTGGAATTGATTCCTATAGCTTTATTTGATGTTATTGAGTTATATTTGACTAGATTCAAGTCGTTTGGTGTTGGATTTTGAAAGGAAAGGTGGTTGATTGACTGATTTAAGCTTGCCAGATTGAGGTAAGTTTCTTGTCTATCCTTGTAAAAAGGAATTCTCCCTGTAGGTAATTTATTTGCTACTTGCTACATAATTTAGGTAACACGTATATGCGAGATGACGAGCGTATATGGTAGTTAGGTTACAATCATACTAGAATAGGGTTAGGCTTATATATTGCCATATTTGAACTATGTGATTTTCTCTTCACGTTTCATTGATTCTATGACTA